TGGGCGATAGTCATTTAGTTCAGTTACCTTTGCTTTCTTGGGTACAGGAAAGATGGTGGACATCTTGAAGCAAGTGGGGACAGCAGACTGGGATAGGGAGAGATTGAATATGTCCGTAAACACTCTAGCCAGCTGGTCTGCGCATGCTCTGAGGACGCAGCTAGGGATGCCGTCTGGGCCGGCAGCCTTGCGAGGGTTAACACGCTTAAATGTCTTACTCACTTCGGCCACGGAGAAGGAGAGCCCACAGTCCTTGGTAGCGGGCCGCGTCGGTGGAACTGTGTTATCCTCAAAGCGGGCAAAGAAGGTGTTTAGCTTGTCCGTAAGCAAGACGTTGGTGTCCCCAAAGTGGCTGGTTTTCCCTTTGTATTCTGTGATTGTCTGTAGACCCTGCCACATACGTCTCGTGTCTGAGCCGTTGAATTGCGACTGCATTTTGTCTCTATACTGACGTTTTGCCTGTTTGATTGCCTTACAGAGGGAATAACTACACTGTTTGTATTCAGCCATATTCCCAGTAACCTTGCCATGGTTAAATGCAGTGGTTCGCGCTTTCAGTTTTGCGCGAATGCTGCCATCTATCCACGGTTTCTGGTTTGGGTAGGTTTTAAAAGTCACAGTGGGTACAACATCTCCTTCCTGATGAACTCAGTCACCGTATCTGTGTATTCGTCGATGTTATTCTCAGAGGCTACCCGGAACATATCCCAGAATTTCGGTAGCATTTTCCTCAAATTTGCTTTGTTAAAATGCCCAGCTACAATTAATGCAGCATCCGGATATGTGGTTTCCAGTTTGCATAAAGTCCAGTGTAGTTCTTTGAGAGCCGTTGTGGTATCGGCTTGGGGGGAATATACACGGCTGTGACTATAACCGAAGAGAATTCTCTTGGGAGGTAATACAGTCTGCATTTGATTGTGAGGTATTCTAGGTCGGGTGAACAAAAGGACTTGAGTTTCTGTATGTTATCACAATCACACCATGAGTAGTTAGTAGTTAATCATGAGTAGTTAATCATGAGTCTTGCCATAACTGACTACACTTTAGTTTCCCACTGTTGTGGTAAAGTTCTCTCCCCATCCAAGAGACAAGGTTTTAGTAACTAGTTTTAGCAGCGCTATGCCTACACAGACAGTCAAGTGCCTCCATTACTGTGTAAAGGGCTAATAGTAAGTTTGAGGACAGTAAACCCAGGGAATATGCTTTTCTGGTGTTATAGTGACTACATCTCTCTTCTGGGCACACAATTTACTGTTCCTCAAGGCATAAACGGATCTGTGCTGGTTGGCGTTACACACAACCAGCCATACTGGTGGATACAGACAGTACAACCTAATGCTTAGACATGTGTTATAAATACCCGTACTGTAGAAGGCAAAGCCCAGCTCAAATTTGTACTGGTATTTTAAGTGAACTCTCATGATTTAAATTTTTTCAAGGAATGCTGCATGTCAGCAGGTCAGTTGTGTGTTTTGTATTGGTTGGACTTGGAAGGGTAAAATACCATGACCCCAACACTTATTACATACTTAATTTAAAAGGGCTAATGTGTGATATTTTTTATGATGGAGATGCCGAAGCAAGCAATGCATTTTAAATGAGCATTTTGTATATTTTACTGTCCTTGCAATGAGGCACCTTCAACATACAGTGGGGAAAAAAAGTATTTAGTCAGCCACCAATTGTGCAAGTTCTCCCACTTAAAAAGATGAGAGAGGCCTGTAATTTTCATCATAGGTACACGTCAACTATGACAGACAAATTGAGAAAAGAAAATCCAGAAAATCACATTGTAGGATTTTTAATGAATTTATTTGCAAATTATGGTGGAAAATAAGTATTTGGTCACCTACAAACCAGCAAGATTTCTGGCTCTCACAGACCTGTAACTTCTTCTTTAAGAGGCTCCTCTGTCCTCCACTCGTTACCTGTATTAATGGCACCTGTTTGAACTTGTTATCAGTATAAAAGACACCTGTCCACAACCTCAAACAGTCACACTCCAAACTCCACTATGGCCAAGACCAAAGAGCTGTCAAAGGACACCAGAAACAAAATTGTAGACCTGCACCAGGCTGGGAAGACTGAATCTGAAATAGGTAAGCAGCTTGGTTTGAAGAAATCAACTGTGGGAGCAATTATTAGGAAATGGAAGACATACAAGACCACTGATAATCTCCCTCGATCTGGGGCTCCACGCAAGATCTCACCCCGTGGGGTCAAAATGATCACAAGAACGGTGAGCAAAAATCCCAGAACCACACGTGGGGACCTAGTGAATGACCTGCAGAGAGCTGGGACCAAAGTAACAAAGCCTACCATCAGTAACACACTACGCCGCCAGGGACTCAAATCCTGCAGTGCCAGACGTGTCCCCCTGCTTAAGCCAGTACATGTCCAGGCCCATCTGAAGTTTGCTAGAGTGCATTTGGATGATCCAGAAGAGGATTGGGAGAATGTAATATGGTCAGATGGAAGCGTGCTGGCATCCACAATCCCCCGACCTCAACACAATTGAGATGGTTTGGGATGAGTTGGACCGCAGAGTGAAGGAAAAGCAGCCAACAAGTGCTCAGCATCACTTTAAACAAGCCAAATATTGAAGCCTGAATTCTGCATTGAACTATACAACTTTAAAAATAAAAGATATGTATGTATTATTTAAAAATGCTTTAAAAATCCTATTTGTACTTTTTCTGTCTTTTTATCTAACTTCTCTCATTAATTTAGACATGAACTGGAGTTTGAATCAGGAACGACGTCCGGCGATTGGGGACTATGTGGCGGACCACATTTTTTCAGATGGAAGACGCAGGCCAAGATGTCGACACAAGTCCAGAGGATAGAATAGACGCCGGAGGGAGCAATGAAGAGGTCATTGTGGACTGTGAGGCCAAGGATAGAGTAGACGCCGGAAGGGAAAGGAGGGGGAAAATGGAGTCCTTTGAGAAGGCAAGAAATAGATATTGGTCAGGAGAAATGCAGTATTATCATAAGGAGACGTATGATGAATGAGGAGGAATGGAGGGAAAAAGAGAGGCAGAGGAGGTCTAAGAGAGAGAGGGAGGAAGACTGTGCGTTTGAGTCGGGAAAAAATGGCGGGAAAAAGGGAGAAGGTTTGTTAAATAAGAGTGGTAGGAAATGTAAGCAAAGTGAGCTGAAGACAGGAGTAGAAATGGAAGAGGGTGAAGTATCGGAGGTGGTAGGTGTGGTGAAGTGCTTGGAGCCAGAGGCTTGTGCAGAGGGTCAGGATAAAGATGAGTCTGTGACAGTAGGAGTGAAGTTTGTGGAAAAAGTGGATCCTTGCCTTTTGGCTGATCCATTTGTGGTTTCAAGATGGGTGAAAAAAGCGTTGGGTATAGTGGAATCGGTGAGGGTAACCAGAAGTGGTCTAGTGATAATTGTTTGTGTTTCTGTTGGGCAGAGGGAGAACGCGCTCAGAGTTAAACAAATGGGGGAAATAATTGTGAATTGTTTCGCTCTTAAGAAAGGGCGCCATTGAGAGGAGTGATTACTGGGGTAGCAGTAAATGTAAAAGTGGATCAACTGAAGGAGAAGATTCCCGGTGTGTGTGATGCTCGTCGTTTGGTGCGACGTAAACAGGTTGGCGAGAGTGGAGAAACAGAAGAGTCTGTTCTTTTGAGTTTTGAAGTTGAGTCTTTGCCGGATAAAGGGAAGTTAGGATATATAAGTTATCCTGTGCGAGCTTATTACGATGTTACAGGTGTCAAACTTATGGGCATGTGGCAGCAGTATGTAGGAGGAAGATTCCAAGGTGTGAGAAGTGTGCAGAAGGGCATGAGACTAAGGAGTGTGAAGCAGTGGAGAAAGTGGTGGTATGTGCTAATTGTAGGGGTGGCCATTGGGCTGGGGATCAGACATGTCCAGTGCAAGAGAAGCAGGTTGAGGTTTCCAGGGTAAGAGTAGAAGAAGTTGTCATATGCGGAGGCAGTGAAGAAAGTAGAGGAAGAGGGTTCAAGGGGGTGGAGTGGTGAGAGTAAGAGATATATACCAGTACAGTAGGCAAGCAAGTGATATATGTTTCAGTAAGATTGGGTTTTTAGCGTTTATAGACATTTTACATTTACATTTTAGTCATTTAGCAGACGCTCTTATCCAGAGCGACTTACATGAGCAATTAGGGTTAAGTGCCTTGCTTAAGCGCACATCGACAGATTTTTCACCTAGTCGGCTCGGGGATTAGAACCAGCGACCTTTCGGTTACTGGCACAACGCTCTTACCCACTAAGCTACCTGCCGCCCTATAGCAATGTTTATTAATTGTACTGCAGGTATGGAACACAAATCGAAGAAAATTGAGGTTGTGGTGGCAGCTGCAGAGAGATATTTGGGTGTGCGAGACTTGACTTGACCGGGAGACCCATGGGCGGTGCACAATTGGTCCAGCGTTGTCCAAGGTAGGGGAGGGTTTGGCCGGCAGGGATGTGGGTTCGTTTCCTACGGGGGCCAGTATGATTTTTTTATTTATATATATATATATATGTATGCATTCACTAACTGTAAGTCGCTCTGGATAAGAGCGTCTGCTAAATGACTAAAATGTAAATGTAAAAATGTAAGAGTTACAGGGAGTGTTAAGTGGTGATGTCCCATCATTTCAGGTTGAGGGCATGAGGTAGGAGTGAGTATATTTAAATAGTGGAGAAAGGTGGGGTTAATTATTAGTAGTAGTTTTGAAGTTGTGAGTGTAGTGTTAGATGGTAGGATATTTATTAATTTGCTTTGTTTTATTTAATTTTTCAAGAAAAGATAAGGGAGTTGTACTCCAGTCTAGTAGGTGGCGGTAATGCAACAAATTGGATGCCAACGGCCGTTAAACCTCATTGAAGAAGAAAGAAGAAATCTAGACATGAAAATATTATTTGGCTGCCATCAGGCTACCATGGCCAATGCAGAAGTTTTAGTTCCGTCTCGTATCGTTTCCGGTAGGACCAATAATAGAGTAGCAAAAAATTTCAGACAAACATCCGTAGTGCAGACCTGTGATAGCGTCGTGTCTTGGAGTTATGAAAGAGTGAATGAGGTCTTTGCTGAGTTTAAACAGACCTACCGGCTTTAGTTGGATGACTTCTTTAAAACTTCGTCTGGCACGGTCAAATTTTATTCGCTCTGGTATTGTCGTCGTGGTTAGATACTTCTCTGCTGTCGTTATGGACGGCATGGGTCTGGCGGTCAGTCGTTCACAGCTCGAGCGCCTCGAATTTGACAATGTCGCACTCAAGAAACTTCCACTGGATACATCAGCAGAGCCTGGCCCGCGAAGGGTGACAGGAGCCTGTTTCTCTCGAGTAAAACCACAGCCAGTGGTCAAGCCCAGATTTGTGGCCGTCTCGAATGATGCTTTGGCTTTGCTTGGGCTGAACGCCATGGAGGTTCTGAATGACCCACTGGGTCCAGAGTATCTGAGCGGTTCCAAAGTAATGCCAGGGTCCGAGCCTGCAGCGCACTGCTACTGCGGTCACCAGTTCGGGTCATTCGCCGGACAGCTGGGGGACGGGGCGGCCTGCTATCTCGGTGAACTAAAAGCTCCAGCAGACCAGTCCCCCGAGCTGCTGCGAGAGAACCCCAGTGGCCGGTGGGAAATTCAAGTCAAAGGAGCTGGACTGACGCCCTATTCCAGGTGGGACAGTATTGCATAAGCATGACTAGACAGTTTTAAAAAAATTATTTAGCTAATTCATCAGTTTAAAAAAAATATATAGTTGACTGTCATTGTAACTTAGCCTATAAAATGTGCTAATGTTGCTGAATACATTTCTATCATACTTTCTCTCCCTTTCCCAGACAAGCGGATGGGCGTAAGGTGCTGCGCTCCAGCATCAGGGAGTTTCTGTGCAGCGAAGCGGTGTTCGCTCTGGGCGTGCCCACCACAAGGGCGGGGTCACTGGTGACCTCCGACAGCAAGGTGGTACGGGATGTGTATTACAGCGGGAACCCCCGCAAAGAGAGGTGCTCTGTGGTCCTCCGTATTGCACCCACCTTCATCAGGTGGGTAGCCTATCACATGTTCTCAGTCTCACAGTTATGACAAATTACTTTAAGGAACAATACTAAAACGTGTCACTATGATCATTTTGTTTGCGTACACACAGGTTTGGGTCCTTTGAGATCTTCAAGGCGACTGATGAGAACACAGGCCGCCAGGGCCCCAGCTACGGCCATGATGAGATCAGAGGTCAGATGATGGATTATGTCATAGAGACCTTCTACCCAGAGATCCACCAGAACAACACAGACAGAGTGGAGAGGAATGTGGCATTTTTCAGAGAGGTATACTATAAACACCACTAGATTCAGTGAAGCATCCATGATTCATTATGTTAAAGTGTACAGTAATGCTCTTAGGCTTTATGAATTTGAAGGATATCCTTCATGAAAGTAAAACTAATTTGACTCAAAGCAGACTGTAGGCCTACATTTGAGCGCACTCTAACCTTGACCTTTTTGTCATGGAGCCAAGAACACTGCTATCCTCTTATCCTGTTAATCTGCTGTCGATAGGACGTCGAAATACAGTTGGAGTATGACACAGCCTTAGCACACACTGTGCTATTAATGAATTATCGTCTCTATTTCTAATTGGTATCGGCAAAGTAGTACATTTAAGATGTTATTGTTTTGCGATTAGCTAGATGCATTGCTAAACATATTAGCATTTCTCACTTGAAAAATATTATTTGACCATCACAGCACAGTATATAATCCCTAAATATGTGTTGCCTAACCCAGCACCTAAGCAAGAGATGGATTCAAGTTTAAACTACTAGACCCAAGTAATCTCCTCTTCCTTCTGTTCCGACACTGGTGCGTGTTTGTGTGTATGTGTTTGTCCCTGACTGTGTGGTAGGTGATGCTGCGTACAGCTCGGCTGGTGGCCCAGTGGCAGTGTGTGGGTTTCTGCCATGGAGTCCTCAACACAGACAACATGAGCATTCTGGGACTCACAATAGACTATGGCCCCTATGGCTTCATGGACAGGTACGTCATACAGTACTCAGCAGCAGTCCATCTCTTCCACAGCAGTAGCCTTGACTAGCATGAATGGCTGACCTGCTTTATTTTAATTGTATTATTGCCATCTTCAAACTTCAACTTCACTCTTAATGTACTTGTTGTTACTGAATCCAAACATTATTTCAAACAAGGGTCTGGCTTAACACTGCCTATTTCCTCCTCTCTTGTCTGTAGGTTTGATCCAGACTTCATCTGCAACGCCTCTGACAACTCAGGCCGCTACTCCTATCAGGCCCAACCGGCTATCTGCCGCTGGAACCTGGCTCGCCTGGCCGAAGCCCTGGACCCAGAGCTGCCCCCAGGCCGGGCAGAGGCTGTCCTGGATGAGTACCTGCCCCTCTACAACACCTTCTACCTGGGCAACATGAGGAGGAAGCTGGGCCTGCTGAGGAAGGAAGAGCCGGAGGACGAGATGCTCATCACTGAGCTGCTGCAGACTATGCATAACACAGGTAGAGAGAGAGACATACTCACCGGCCGGTTTATTAGGTACAACCATCTACACTGAACAAAAATATAAACACAACATGTAAAGTGTTGGTCCCATGTTTCATGTGCTTTCCATGCTCATGAAAAGCTTATTTCCCTCAGATTTTGTGCACAAATTTGTTTACATTTTACATTTTAGTCATTTAGCAGACGCTCTCATCCAGAGCGACTTACAGTTAGTGAGTGCATACATTTTCATACTGGCCCCCCGTGGGAAACGAACCCACAACCCTGGCGTTGCAAGTGCCATGCTCTACCAACTGAGCTACAGGGGACAATTTTTTTAACATTCCTGTTGGTGAGCCTTTGTCAAGATAATCCATCCACCTGACAGGTGTGGCATATCAAGAAGCTGATTAAACAGCATGATCATTACACAGGTGCACCTTGTGCTGCGGACAAAGTATTAATAAAAGGCCACTCTAAAATGTGCAGTTTTGTCACACAACACAATGCCACAGATATCTCAAGTTTTGAGAGTGTGCAATTGGCATGCTGTCTGCAGGAATGTCCACCAGAGCTATTGCCAGAGAATTTGATGTTAATTTCTCTACCATAAGCCACCTCCCAACGTTGTTTAAGAGAATTTGGCAGTACGTCCAACCGGCCTCACATCTGCAGATCACGTGTAACCACGCCAGCCCAGGACCTCCACATTCAGCTTTTTCACCTGCGGAATCGTATGAGACCAGCCACTGGACAGCTGATGAAACTGTGGGTTTGCACAACCGAAGAATTTCTGCACAAATTGTCAGAAACCATCTCAGGGAAGCTCATCTGCGTGCTCGTTGTCCTCACTAGGGTCTTGACCTGACTGCAGTTCAGCATCGTAACTGTCTTCAGTGGGCAAATGCTCACCTTTGATGGCGTCGTGTGGGCAAGCAGTTTGCTGATGTCAATGTTGTGAACAGAGTGCCCCATGGTTGCGGTGGGGTTATGGTATGGGCAGGCATAAGCTACGGACAACGAACACAATTGCATTTTATCGATGGCAATTTGACTGCACAGAAATACAGTGACGAGATCCTGAGGCCCATTGTCGCGCCATTAATCCGCCGTCATCACCTCATGTTTCAGCATGAAAATGCATGTCCCCATGTCGCAAGGATCTCTACACAATTCCTGGAAGCTGAAAATGTCCCTGCATACTCACCAGACATGTCACCCTTTGAGCATGTTTGGGATGCTCTGGATCGACGTGTATGACAGCGTGTTCCAGTTCCCGCAACTTTGCACAGCCATTGAAGAGGAGTGGGACAACATTCCACAGGCCACAATCTACAGCCTGATCAACTCTATGCGAAGGAGATGTCACGCTGCATGAGGCAAATGGTGGTCACACCAGATACAGACTGGTTTTCTGATTTACGCCCCTACTTTTTTTTTTTTTTTTAAGGTATCTGTGACCAACAGATTCATATCTGTATTCCCAGTCATGTGAAATGCATAGATTAGCGCCTAATTCATTTATTTCAATTGACTGATTTCCTTATGTACTGTAACTCAGTAAAATCTTAGAAATTGTTGCATGTTGCGTTTATATTTTTGTTCAGTGTAGTACCGGGTCGGACCCTCCTTTGCCTCCAGAACAGTTTTTTGTGTGTCGCACCATTCTCGGTAAACCCTAGACACTCGAGCGTGAAAAGCTCAGGAGGGTGGCCGTTTCTGAGATACTGGGTCCGGCGCGCCTGGCACCGACGTTCATACCACGCTCAAAGTTGCTCAGGTCACTTGTTTTGCCCATTCTAAAGTTCAATTGAACAGTAACTAATGCCTGTCTGCCTGTTTTAAATAACAAGCCACGGCCACATGACTCACTGTCTGTAGGAGCGACCCATTTTCGTGAACTAGTACTTAATAAACTGTCCGGTGAGTGTACATACTCATTGTACATAACAAAGCTATGGGGAATGAGGAGGGACAAACCACACTCAGCACTGATGCATAGAAAGATGACTCACGGTCACATCATTCACACAAAACACAGCTATGACACTAAGACTAAGCATGACTGATTTAATATCTGATCCTTCTTGGACACTAGGAGCAGACTTCACCAACACGTTCCGCTGTCTGAGCCAGATCCCCTGCCCCACTGAGGGAGACGGGGAGGCAGAGGAAGGAGTCATCAAAATGGCCACAGACCTCCTCCTGGAGCAGTGTGCCTCTCTGGAGGAGCTCAAGGCTGCCAACAAGCCCAGCATGGACCCACGGTGAGAGAATAGATTGACATGAGCAGTGAGAACACAGGTAATGGTTTGTTTGAAGCTGCTTGGTCTTGGGTCATTGAAGCTGTAGGAGAGCTTTGGAATTTGGTCAATAATACAGTAGTGGGCATAGTCCATTGGATGCACATGATCCTCTGACCCAAGTGTTTGTCTATTAAAGTCCTTCCACTCTTTCTCCTTCCTCTCTGCCTCTCCCTTCTATTCGTTTTTTTTTTTGCGATCACATTTTTATTGACATTTTGCATTAAGACACACCACTCTCCCTTCACCCTTCAGTGAGTTGGCCATGCTGCTGCAGTTGGCCCAGAGCAACCCGTCCCTGTTCCAGATGATATCAGACCGGAGGATGGTGGCCATGCAGCTGGAGAAGCTGGGCAGGCTGAAGGAGCTGCTGGAGGCTGACGAGGTGGAGGTCAAGGCCAAGCACAGGGAGGACTGGGCCACCTGGATCACCTCATACAAGCAAGTGCTTATATTTTTTAAGCGTCTCAGAGTAGGAGTGCTGATCTGGGATCAGGGCCCTTATCCACAAAGTGTCTCAAAAAAGGTCCTAGGAATCCTGTCAAAACCTGTTTTTAAGACAACAACAAAAACTCCCAGCTCAGGGTAGGTTTTAGGATCTTGTTAAGACACTGTTCAGACAAACTCTGAGCCAGGAGTAAAAATCAACTCATAAAAGTTTATCTCAGCTAGTTTACACAACAGTTTGAGGTACCACAAAGGAAAGATAGTGATGACGCTTATTGACATTGTTACAAATGATGGGAAATAACCAATCGCGATGAGGCATCGCAAGCTGTGAACGCTATAGCACGCTTCAGACAACCACGGTGAATGTGACTGTACATCAAATGTTGCAATGGTAAAACATTTGATATAATTTTTGCCTGACATGATCACTATTCCTACTCTTAATTGTTGTCTAAAATCTTTTTTAACCAATTCTGTTATTTTTTATGATGTGATTTGCACTGAATCACATAATCATCATGATGGTTGTTAAAAGCAGAATTTCGATAATATTACAGCTATATCAACACACTCGTCACTCCCGTTCAACAACTTGAAATCGCTTTGGCACAGTAGGCATCAAGTCACTTGCCAATAATGTTGCAGAAAATGTTTGAAAAGTCTATAATTTTCACTGAACACAATCAAAGTTAACATAGTAGTAATAATAATAATAATAATAATAATAATTATCTATTAAACATAGGCCCTAGATGCTTTCAATTGCCCAAGTTATAGGCATTTAGGAATATTTTGTAATAACGTGATATTCCGCTACAAAGGGATAACTTTAAATAACATGTTGGTTCATTTAAATAATGTATTAGTCTAGTGGGTATAAGTATTTAGGAATATCATGGGAATTAGGCCTTGTGAAATCATTGTCAAAAGCACAAGAGATACTGTTGCATGTAGGTCTAGATTGTTTATGGGTTGATCATATCGAAATATCAAAACATTCTTTCAACAACTCCAAAGCAATTGCCTGTCTATGGTGCAGGAACCACTGACCCTCTGCCTTTTTTCTATTATCAAGACACCTGCTGGTAACTCTTAACTGGTTAGGACAGCTCATGAGGTCTCCTTAATATCTGTCGACTAGGTGGGACTCTTATGACTAAAGAGGCTTAATTCATAGCTTTTATTTTTACCCATAAGATTAGGAGTAAAATGTATATTCTCAGCACTTACAACTAATTCTCTACTCTGAGACGCTTTGTGGATACGGCCCCAGGTCTCCCTGTCTTAATGTGGATACGGCCCCAGGTCTCCCTGTCTCCCTGTCTTAATCGTTATGATCCAAAAGGCAAAACTGATCCTAGATCAGCATTCCTATTCCACGCAGTGAATACAGGCCCTGAATTGAACTTGCCATTTTCTCAAACTCAGTGTTTGACAGTATATTAAGGTAACTCTATCACCAGATATATTGCTTTAGAAATGTAGCATGGGGAGATGGAGAGAAGGGAAGGGAATAAAAGCTTAGGAAAAAGCAGGTTGGTCTAATGTTTGTACTAGAGGTGGTGTTAGTCGCAGTTATTTGACTCGATGCCAGCCTGTTCTCTCTGAACACAGTGGGGGATTTCATTAGGCTCAAACGTAAGAAAACGGACATAGGGAGTGACTAACTGCACTTGTCCAATAAGAAATGCTTGTTTTTGTTCTCCATTGCAAAACGTTTTGCTCAGGTGTGCCCTAATGAATCTAACTCTGTTGTGACTGGTGCAGGAAGCGTCTGGCTGGGGAGGTTGAGGGCCAGAGTGACGTCCAGGCACTGCAGGAGGAGAGAGTGAAGGTGATGGATGGCACCAACCCACGATACGTCCTCAGGAACTACATTGCCCAGAATGCAATAGAGGCAGCCGAGAATGGAGACTTCACTGAGGTCAGGCTCCGATCCTTTCTCCGTGTTACGTCTTCGTTATTCTGTTAAAGCGACCAAAGGTTCAATACCGCTTCCCCCTGAACTTTCGTTTGCATTGTTCAAATCAATGATTTCACCAGAACAGTAGGATTCTCAAAAGGAAGGAAAAAAACATGCTGTCTCTGTCTTTACTTGGATTTCCCTCTCATGGTTTGATCTTTCTCCCATCTCTCTGTGCCATAGGTCCAGCGGGTCTTGAAGGTTCTGGAAAAGCCTTTCTCTACCCAGCCGGGTCTGGAGCAGCCGAGCTGGCTGGGCCGAGGGGGGGCAGAGGGGCAGGAGGAGAGGGATGAGGGAGAGGAGGAGGAGCAGCAGGTGGCAGAAGCAGTATCATCCCGAATGCGTGTTCCCTATGACAGCAAGCCCCCGGTTTGGGCCAATGAAATCTGTGTCACCTGATCTTCGTAGTCCCTTCCCTGACAGTCAACCCACCTAAAGTTACAAGAGAGAGTCACTCAGTATTTTCTTCACCTCTGTTTACCTTTACCTCTCCCCTCTCTCTTGCTATACTTGGGTGTGTAATGTCAAGGAAGGTACATTTGAGTTAAGAAGCTACTATGTCAAACCGTCAGTCTATAGAGGCGAGGATGTGTTAAGAGTTTTGGCAAATTTCACAGAGTACAACCCCAGAAATCGGAAATCACACCTTTGATTCAAGTAAAAATTACATTTATGGAAATATCACGTCTTCAGTAGATCTATACTCTTAATACAGATCCAGCTCTGTAGATCTGTGTAGCCTATTGGCTGTCTGGTTATGAATGACGGCCCAGACGTCCAGTCCTACAGTGACCCGTCTGAGTCTGAAAGACTAGGAGTATTACCTCAATTTACCAAATATCATGTGTGTGTAATATGTCTGTATGTGTGTGAAAGGGAATGATTATATATGAAGAGTTACACATCATCTGAATCGTACAGAATGATTCACATGTGTATGTGACTGACTGAACCGCAAATGACTTAACGCACAAGTATAACATAAATGTCAACATGTATATATGTCATAGCAACCGTAACACTGACCACTTAGTGCTTCATTGCACAAATAGAACACCACAACATTGTTGTAGGTCATGATAACATTATATGTATTGCCTACATTTTCCAGGAAGCTTCAAAACTGCTATTGTCAACCAAGAAAACCATGAGAAATATACATATTTGTATGATTTGATATGCAAATGAGATGTCATGATGACGCTAAGGAATTTGCTTTTATGGCTTGTTCCTTGGTCAGTTGAATTTCTTTAACTTTTGATATGTTATGGCCCAAAGTTTAGCTGTTCATAATATTGAAAAAGCCATTCCATTAAAATTATATTTTTGGAAGTTGGAAGGTTTTACACAGACACTTAAAAAAAAAATTGTAAAAATAGAAACTGTGCGCTACTCAAATGGCTTCTCTTGGGCAGGGCTCAAGTCTGTTCATATTGATCAGTTGGAGCTTTTCTCTCAAAAGAAAGGCAAAAACATTGCTTATAATAGAACAGACTATCCTACATGTATAATCCCTCACAAAAGCCAATGAGATTCTTACATGGTAGTTTTTAGTCCTTGGTTATTAAAGTAGATATGATATTCAATGTATTCTCTTCAGAGAGCTTCCTCTATATGTGAATTGTAGTCAGTAAACTTCAACAAAATCTATGTTGGCTGTTATTCTGTCTCTTTGTGCACACCCATGCATAGGCCTACATATGCACAACAGTATAGCCTACATTTATATAATAATAATAATATGCCATTTAGCAGACGCTTTTATCCAAAGCGACTTACAGTCATGTGTGCATACATTTTTGTGTATGGGTGGTCCCGGGGATCGAACCCACTACCCTGGCGTTACAAGCGCCGCGCTCTACCAGCTGAGCTACAGAGGACCATATATATATTCCAGCTTGTCTCTTCATGTCTGGATTCTGTAACATTGCATGTGAACGATTGATGTTGCTCATGTTAAACAGTAAATAGCCTCCAGTAGCTCAGTTGGTAGAGCATGGCGCTTGCAACGCCAGGGTTGTGGGTTCGTTTCCCACGGGGGGCCAGTATGAAAAATGTATGCACTCACTAACTGTAAGTCGCTCTGGATAACAGTGTCTGCTAAATGACTCAAATGTAAATACTAGAGCCTGCCACACCTACCATAAAATATATTTTCTTCATGTTTCTTTGCAGAAATGTTCAGAAAACAGACTTGAAGCTATTTGATTTAACTGTTTCAAGAAATACTGTTTCACTTTCTCCCCCAAACATGTTTGTGCAGTGTATCCTGGTATTGTGGATCTTGTGTCTGTTCCTCAGGCTCTAACTGGCCTACACACAACTTTGCGATTCTCCCCAACCAACCTTGGCGCGGTGGGAGGAATGTCTGTACCCTTGGGGACTCCTCAATGCACATGTCCCAGCAAGCCCTCAACACGGCCAATGCAGAAAGCCATATAAGGAGCAGCAACATCAAACAGGCCTGGAAAGATTCATACTTGTATTTTACCCTGGGTTTAATTTGTTTACCATTGATATTCTGATCTTCCAGGTTATATAGGTATCTATTAATATGAATTGTGGCTTCTTGACAATATATGACACTCTGCAGACATGAAAATTACAAACAAAATTACAAAAATTACAAACATAGTTTATTTGTCCAAACGGAACTCATACAACACTAATCAGCACTTACGTTGTGCACACAGCACATGCCTATATGTACATGTCTCTTTTCAGTTCGTGTCTGTGCTGTCACACTACACTTCATAAGACTCCGGAGTGGCTGTGTTGTGGTTGATTTATGCAGGCGGCGCCTAGCTGCGCGGTAGAAGCGCTGCGGATACGGTGACGAGAATGAATGCAAGAACGCATAGGTAGGACAATGGGTGTGTAAACGAAACTGGGAAATCACCTCTTGGGACAGATCCTGAATTTGTTACATCTGGTAAAATAAGATGTCGAGCCGGATCAGACCTGGCTACTGTCGCCAGGACGTGAACAAAACCACATGGGAGGTACCCGAGCAGTTCCGGGAGCTGAAACAGGTGGGGACAGGGGCTTACGGTACAGTCTGGTAAGTTTCGTGGCAACTGGGGTCGAAAGAGATGTAACAACTATTTATGTTTTGGTGCTATTCAAAATGTTATCATATACCTAAAGCTGTGTGGTTAAATTACACGTGGCTATATATATATTTTTTTTCAGTACAAGAGAAAATAGCTCTTGAGTTTCACACCAAAGCAAGGGGCACTTCCTTATTTGAGGGCAGATTTCTCTGTATCACCTCAACCCATTTTGAAATGTCACAGCCTTTTGCGTTCTAACCTCACTGGTCTTTGGAAGTGCCCATCTTAAGGGTACTCATTCTCATAATGTAGGCTAAACTAGAGCCTAGAATAGAATGACAATCTGTATGAAACTTTAGAATTAAATTATGTGTGTATTATTCTAACATCACTAAAAAGTTACAAACGCTCAGAAACCGATCTTTAAATCATTTGCGCATTGTCATTGCGCTCTAGTCACATTACCTTTGTGTGACTAGCAGCATAGGTCCTTACATAGAGTACAACAGTATGAGTCGTAATACCTATAAAACCTAGAGGTCAAACAGGGAAATGGTTCCAATCACCCTGAAGAAGGCACAGTGATGCCGAAACGTTGGTGGTTTCTTACCCAATAAATTACTGGGAGTTTATACATAGTGTGCGGCTCTCTTTACTTGTTTTTATAGCTTACAGTTTATTCACCGTTAGTCAGCACCTCTATACTAAATAATGTTCTCTGTGTGTGCGCCAGATCATGCTTTTTATTAGACTATTACCAATCGTTTTTGCACCATTCATTTTTCCCATAGGGGATTTTAGACTGTGTATGCTCTGTGGGCGTGTCCAGAGTTGTCGGCTGGCTGAATGCCAAATTGTAACACAAGATCAACTCAGCATTTCAAGGTGGTTCATTTGTATTGGTTGGGAGTTGTACTACAAAGAAGCATCACTTTCTATGTTTGGCTGGGAAATGGTGTACAGGCCCTGGAAAGGGATGTTTAAAAACGGAATTAACGTGATTCTGCAATAGTATAGGACTCAAGGCTTAAATCAACGTTTTAAATAACTATTTGAAGACTGTGTACATCTCTTCCTCCAACACCTCACTGTCATCTCCATATCTGTCTCCAGCTCTGCGGTGGACTTCAGGACAGGGACAAAGGTGGCCATTAAGAAGCTCCACAGGCCCTTCCAGTCTGAGCTCTTTGCTAAGAGGGCCTATCGGGAGCTGAGACTGCTCAAACACATGAAACATGAAAATGTAAGACCTGCAAGCCTATAGTCCAAAATCAACCCTTATCCTGTTTCAATGCATTACTTTAGTCCTTGAGGTTTGTAGCCCTGAAGGTTTTTCCCGCCCTGAGTGACACTAAGTAATTGCAATCAAGTAGGATGGCAGGAAGCCTAGTGGTTAAGAGCATTGGGCCAGTAACCAAAAGGTTGCTGGTTGGAATCCCTGAGCAGGCTAAGTGAAAAATCTGTCTTTGCCCTTGAGCAAGGCAATTAACCCTAATTGCTCCTGTAAGTCGCTCTGGATAAGAACATCTGCTAAGTTACTTAAATGTAGCCTTAGTGATGCAGATGTAGTCTTATCTCTGCTTTAATACTATAATAAACCCTGATAAATACCTCATATGAGATGTTTCTATTCTCTCCCTGGGACCAGGTTATTGGCCTTGTGGATGTATTCACTGCAGAACTCTCCTTGGACAGATTCCATGACTTGTGAGTACACTTGTGTTTTCATATTCAGGCACAATAGCTCACAAACCTCAAGTAAATAAAAACAGGAGACACAATATCCACATTCCACCCACTGGATTTTAGCAGTGTTCCGTCTTTCCTCTTCATGTTGGTTGGTTATTTCGAAGATATGTAGACATTTTAGTCTCTCGCGATCTCTCCCTCCCTCGCTCTCTCTCAGCTATCTTGTGATGCCCTTCATGGGAACAGATCTGGGGAAGTTGATGAAGTTACAGAATCTTTCAGAGGACAAAGTGCAGTTCCTGGTCTATCAGATGCTGAAGGGACTCAAGGTGTGTCTCACATAGCCACAAACAATCTCATAGATAAATACTTCTATACAGTATAGAAATACATATACATCCTGCTACTGTATGATATTGATGGAAATGGTTGTCTTCTTTTATTACAGTATATCCATTCTGCTGGCATCATTCATAGGGTGAGTGAATCTCCTTTTTCCTGTGTGTGTGTGCGCAAGCCTGTGTCATGCAAGTGTGTGTGCATGTTTTAGGCCCCTCAAAATGACCCTCTTAATGTTTGTATCTGTAGGACCTCAAACCAGGGAATCTGGCCGTTAACCAGGAATGTGAGCTCAAGGTACACAGTCACACACCCAGTGCTCTGATAACCTAAATAAACCTTCCACCACTGTGTCCAGCTCCGCTGTCAATAACTCAGTCTGTGGCTTAATGGCCTCTACACAGGCCAACAGAAAACATTACTCTCTGTTGTCATGGTTTGATGCTTGAGCACAGTTTTGCAGCAATAATAACTTCCATAATAATAACTTCCATAGTATTTCGTAGTCATGAACTGTCCCATTGATGTGCAATTGATTATTAGTAGGACTGATTTTGCAGATGGCATATGATTTATAATGATTGTGATACAGTATGTGGGTGTTTTACACACCTTAATTGAATGAAGATAGTGTCTGCTGAGTGACTCAAATGTAAATGTAATGTCCAGTAATAATAAAAGCTTGTTGTGTCTGTTGTCTGTGTCAGATCCTGGACTTTGGCCTGGCGCGGCAGGCGGACAGTGAGATGACAGGCTATGTGGTGACCCGCTGGTACAGAGCCCCAGAGGTCATCCTCAGCTGGATGCACTACACCCAGACTGGTCAGTACACTACGCAACACTCATCTTAATTGGTCCAGGATTAGATGTGTTGGTAAGCCACTGATGGTTAAGGCTAATAATGGGATACAGACAACTGATCCTAGATTGGATCTTTTACAAGGATGGAAAGTAATCTGAGTGGTCTTCGTAGATGACAGGGTCAACTAAATGCATTGGATACTTTATGTAGTGTACATTGAAGCCTATGGAGAATGTTAGAATGTCCGTTAGGTGGTGCTCTGGTCTGTATTTTTGCCTAGTGATAAATGCACTCAAACATGGTTCTATCAGCTCTAAACACCAGTCATGTTAATGGAAGTCCTTTCTATCAAAAACCGTTTATTCATGGCAGCCTTGTCAGGAAACTTAAGGAGAGAGATGCTGCTTATAAACACGGCAAGGTGACCGGGGACAATTGTATGGTTAAACAGTACAAATACGACCTACGGACGACGCAATCGCCATTGCACTGCACACTGCCCTCACCCACCTGGACAAAAGGAATGCATATGTGAGGATGCTATTTATTGTCTACAGCTCGGCCTTCAATACCATAGTGCGCTCTAAGCTCACCACAAAGCTCACGGCACTGGGACTGAACTCCTCCCAATGCAACTGGGTCCTGGCCGTCCCCAGGGGGTGAAGGTAGGCAACATTACCTCCTCCACACTAATCCTCAACACGGATGCGTCCTCAGTCCCCTCCTGTACTCCCTGTATACCCACGACTGCGTGGCCTCACACAGTTCCAACTCCCACATCAAGTTCAGTGACGACACGACAGTAGTAGGCCTGATTACCAACAACAACGAGACGGCCTACAGAGAGGAGGTGGGCACTCTGACGGTGTGGTGCCAGGTAAACAACCTCTCCCTCAACGTCAGCAAAACAAAGGAGCTGATTGTGGACTTCAGGAGCAACCACACTTGGCACGGAGACGGTCAGCACACAGCATTCTGCAGCGATACACCATCCCATCTGGTTTGGGCTTAGTGGGACTATCATTTGTTTTTCAACAGGACAATGACCCAAAACACCTCCAGGCTGTTTAAGGGCTATTTAACCAAGAAGGAGAGTGATGGAGTGCTGCATCAGATGACCTGGCCTCCACAATCACCCGACCTCAACCCAATTGAGATGGTTTGGGATGAGTTGGACCGCAGAGTGAAGGAAAAGCAGCCAACAAGTGCTCAGCATATGTGGGAACTCCTTCAAGACTGTTGGAAAAGCATTCCAGGTGAAGCTGGTTGAGAGAATGCCAAGAGTGTGCAAAGCTGTCATCAAGGCAAAGGGTGGCTACTTTGAAGAATCTAAAATATAAGATATATTTTGATTTGTTTACCACTTTTTGGGTTACTACATGATTCCATATGTGTTATTTCATTGTTTTGATGTCTTCACTATTATTCTACAATGTAGAACATAGTAAATATAAAGAAAAACCCTTGAATGAGTAGGTGTCCAGACTTTTGACTGGTAGTGTATATATTTTTATTATTGTTGTTTCATTCACTTCTCTTTTTGACCTGCACTGTTGGAGCTCTGAGTTTAAAAATTTCACTGTACCCTGCAGTTAAATCTGCGACTCTGTCTATGTGACTAATAAACTCATCTAATGTAATCAGTTAACAGTATTTTCCCATTTTCTTCTATTCTTAGTGGACATCTGGTCAGTGGGCTGCATCATGGCAGAGATGCTGTTGGGGAAACCACTGTTCAAAGGCAATGACCGTATCCTCATTTGACGTGATCTGACCTGCCCCTGAGCCCCCCCATCCACTGTTGCACAATACATTTATAAAACTCTATTACTGTGGTAAATGCTGTTTATTTTGGAATCATGCTTGTTTCCATTTTTACTTTTCGGTTTGCCTGACTAGAACTAGATTATACCCTTACATGGACAGGGGGTTTTGTTTCACCTTTACTGTAGATTCCATGTGTTTTTCGTTGAGAATGTGTTCAGTATATCATTTGTATGTAGTTTGACCTTTGAACCTTGACCTGTGGAGCACAGACCTGGATCAGCTGACTGAGATCATGAAAATCACAGGGACGCCTACTCAGGACTTCATCACCAAACTGCAGTCTCAGGATGTGAGTCATACACATACTTACATGCCAAACACATACTATATGCCTGCGTGCACATAGACCTTGAATATGTTGACATTCTATTTCTCAGGCTAAAAACTATGTCAGAAACCTTCCTAAAGTGCAAAAGAAAGAGCTTCAGGATCTCTTTTCCAAAGTCAACCCACAGGGTAAGACTATCACCATCGTACAGTATATTATGTATAGTGAATCTGCAGTATCCCATCCTCATGACAATGTTGACTGTTCCTATGTGTGCTGTTCCTATCTCTCTGTTTAGATGTATGTATTCCCTCTGTTAAGTGTGTTGAGACTGTGATGATGCACTTTTAAATTAAATTTGACTTGATTTTATTCAATATCCCCCTTCCACTTCATTTCCAGCGGTGACAGTTATAGAGTGCATGCTGCTGCTGGACCCAGAGAGTAGGGTGACAGCGGCGGAGGCCCTCGCCCTGCCATACTTCTCAGAGTTCAGAGAGCCAGAGGAGGAGACTGAGGCCCAGCCATACGACCACTCAGTAGACAACTCTGACTTGCCCCTGGAGCAGTGGAAACGTAAGGAGGAGGGGAAGGGCTGGGACAGAACCAGGGCTGTATACATTAGGCAACGAACAGAAGAAAACTGACTGAAACTGGGAGGGATTACCTGAACTTGTCCAATAGAAACTATTGTTTTTATTTTCCATTGCAAAAGTTTTGCTACTGTGTGTCGTAACGAATACGACCCAGGACAGAGGGGAAAACGTGTCAATAGGGACCAGTTTGTTTTCATTGGTTAACATTAAACCATTATTGAAGGCATTTTTAAAGGATATTTTTAAAGGATATCCAACTTGTTTGGTATGACAGAGTCGTCAAGCTGTGCAGGCCTCCCTGGAATAGGGACTTATTTTTAGAATGTTTGTGTTGCTGATGGATTTTACAGTGAGCTACTGCAATATGCATATATGCAGGATTTCATTCTCTACCATGAATTTCAATGAATATGCTTCTGCATGTAAACACTGATTATTTATCTGTCTTCTCTTTCTCTCTTCCTCCTTTTGTTTGTTCACAGGTCACACGTTCACAGAGATCTTGTCTTTCCAGCCCAAAGTGGTTGAGTCCAGGGAAACCGCACTGTAAGGTGAAGCATAGCACATGGAAAGCAACCCCCACCCACCATTTTTTACAAGTGTCCATTCAATGTTCTCAGACTGTAATTTTTGTATGTGTTTACTCCTCACGTGTGTACATTTTCAGCCATTTTCACACCACTGTCTTGTTGCCTCCTGAATCAAGCCCTTGTCAAGACGACGATGTTTGTCCTTTAGGATAAGACGTTGTTTGTCCTTTAGGATAAGACGTTGTTTGTCCTTTAGGTTGTTGGTCCTTTAGGATAAGACGTTGTTTGTCCTTTAGGATAAGATGTTGTTTGTCCTTTAGGATAAGACGTTGTTTGTCCTTTAGGTTGTTTGTCCTTTAGGATAAGACGTTGTTTGTCCTTTAGGATAAGACGTTGTTTGTCCTTTAGGATAAGACGTTGTTTGTCCTTTAGGGTAAGACGTTGTTTGTCCTTTAGGATAAGACGTTGTTTGTCCTTTGACTAGAATTCTAGGATGTTTCCGTGTGTGTGTGTAGCTGTGTAGTCTAAACATGTTTGTGACCCCTGCTGATGTTTCCTTAACCTTGTAATTTCGTTTTATCGCCTTAATTAAAGAATAATGGTACAGAGCCAAACAACATCTGAAAACCATTTACTAAAGCGTAAGCACAGAAGCAATTATTTTCATGACAAAGAATGCAGACACATAAAAACCATTGGTGGTCTGTAAAACATTGCAAAAAATAAAACAATTTTTTATATGAGCCATTTAATGTAATTTAGCTTACATTGGATATTTATTTTTTATTTAAAAAACATTGTTTGAATAAGAGTGTCTGTTTTTCATGCATAGATATTTCTTTAAAGGATACTTTTGTGAGAAATGCTATGGTGTTTTGTGTTCCCTTTGCCATCTCTTGTTGGATACAAACCTGTATTGCTGCTTTCAAGATTGGCACAATAAGGAAGCTTCTTAACCTCCTATCAGATAACAGTAGAGGGCAGCACATTCACAAAAACAGATGTTTTCCAGGACAGACTGGGTTCCATTATTATTGTACTCAAGACAGTGTCCTCTTCATCTTTTTATCAAACATAATGAATGTTGTTCTGTGTTTCAATCATATCTCAATATTATCTACAGCATGTAGACCCCAAATATATAGCTAATATTGTAAGCCCTTACTTTCCTCATAAAATATCAACACTGAGTGTACAAAACATTAAGAACACCTTCCTAATATTGAGTCGCACCCTCCCTTTTGCCCTCAGAACAGCCTCAGTTCATCGGGGGATGGACTCTATAAGGTGTCGAAAGCGTTCCACAGGGATGCTGGCCCATGTTGACTCCACAGTTGTGTCAAGTTGGCTGGATGTCTTTTGGGTGGTGGACCATTCTTGATACACACTGGAAACGGTTGAGCGTGAAAACCCAGCAGCGTTGCAATTCTTGACACAAACCAGTGTGCCTGGCACCTGCTACCATACCCCGTTCAAAGGCACTTAAATCTTTTGTCTTGCCCATTCACCCTCTGAATGGCACAAATACAGTACACAATTTTACATTGTAGTAATTTAGCAGACGCTCTTATCCAGAGCAACTTACAGTAGTGAGTGCATACATTTTCGTACTTTTTCGTACACAATTAATGTCTCAATTGTCTCGAGGCTTAAAAATTATTATTTAACCAGTGTTCTCCCCTTCATCTACACTGATTGAAGTGGATTTAACAAGTGACATCAACAAGGGATAATGATTCACCTGGTCAGTGTATAACCATTCATATTGTTAAAATATTCTTTTGAAATCTGATTCTCAGATTCTACTGTTTTTTTAAAAATGTCCACCAACAACTGCAGAATGTAACAAGATGGTCTTGACTGACCCCTGACCTCTAGGATCCTAGGTCCCTTCAACCAGAGGATGTGCATACTCTCTAAGTCCCCTCCAACCCTTTCGGTGAGTGTTATGTTGTGTTCTCCATCCCTTCAGGGTGTTTGATATGGTTCACTCAGAAGTCACCAAGCTCTGTTCCCTATCTCAGACAGGAAAACTGTGAGAAAAGCACATTTCTTACCCTCCTCTTCTCTACCGCCCCACAACCGACCACCCCTCCTCTCCTCTACCGCCCCACCACCGACCACCCCTCCTCTCCTGCCCCACAACCGACCACCCCTCCTCTCCTCTACCGCCCCACCACCGACCACCCCTCCTCTCCTCTACCGCCCCACCACCGACCACCCCTCCTCTCCTGCCCCACAACCGACCACCCCTCCTCTCCTCTCCCACCCCACCACTGACCACACCTCCTCCACACACAACACACAGGAGCGGAGAAGGTACGGTGGGATTCGAAATGGTCAGTGATCTGTTTGTTAACTTGGCTTTCAAATACTTTCGAAAGGCAGGGCAGGATGGATATAGGTCTGTAACAGTTTGGAGTGTCACCCGCTTTGAAGAGGGGGATGACCACGGCAGTTTTCCAATCTCTGGGGATCTCAGACGTTATGAAAGAGAGGTTGAACAGGCTAGTAATAGGGGTTGCGACAATTTCGGCGGCTAATTTTAGAAAGAAAGGGTCCAGATTGTCTAGCCCAGCTGATTTGTAGGGGTCCAGATTTTTCAGCTCTTTCAGAACATCAGCTGTCTGAATTTGTGTGAAGGAGAAGCGGGGGGGCATGGGCAAGTTGCAGCGGAGGGTGCAGAGCTGGTGGCCGGGGTAGTGGTAGCCAGGTGGAAAGCATGGCCAGCCGTAGCAAAATGCTTGTTGAAATTCTCGATTATTGTAGATTTATCGGTGGTGACAGTGTTTCCTAGCCTCAGTGCAGTGGGCAGTTGGGAGGAGGTGCTCTTATTCTCCATGGACTTTACAGTGTCCCAAAACTTTTTGGAGTTAGTGCAACAGGATGCACATTTCTGTTTGAAAAAGCTAGCCTTTGCTTTCCTAACTGATTGTGTATATTGATTCCTGACTTCCCTGAAAAGTTGCATATCGCGGGGGCTGTTCGATGCTAATGCAGTACGCCACAGCTTTTATTTATTTCATCACATTCCCAGTGGGTCAGAAGTTTACATACACTCAATTAGTATTTGGTAGCATTGCCTTTAAATTGTTTAACTTGGGTCGAACGTTTCGGGTAGCCTTCCACAAGCTTCCCACAATAAGTTGGGTGAATGTTGGCCCATTCCTCCTGACAGAGCTGGTGTAACTGAGTCAGGTTTGTAGGCCTCCTTGCTCGCACACGCTTTTTCAGTTCTGCCCACAAATGTTCTATAGGATTGAGGTCAGGGCTTTGTGATGGCCACTCCAATACCTTGACTTTGTTGTCCTTAAGCCATTTTGCCACAGCTTTGGAAGTATGCTTGGGGTCATTGTCCATTTGGAAGACCAAGCATTTGCGACCAAGCTTTAACTTCCTGACTGATGTCTTGAGATGTTGCTTCAATATATCCACATAATTTTCCTTCCTCATGATGCCATCTATTTTGTGAAGTGCACCAGTCCCTCCTGCAGCAAAGCACCCCCACAGCATGATGCTGCCACTCCCGTGGTTCACGGTTGGGATGATGTTCTTCGGCTTGCAAGCGACCCCCCTTTTTCCTCCGAACATAACGATGGTCATTATGGCCAAACAGTTCTATTTTTGTTTCATCAGACCAGAGGACATTTCTCCAAAAAGTACGATCTTTGTCCCCATGTGCAGTTGCAAACCGTAGTCTGGCTTTTTTATGCAGCCTTTCAGGTTATGTCGATTATAGGACTCGTTTTACTGTGGATATAGATACTTTTGTACCTGTTTCCTACAGCATCTTTACAAGGTCCTTTGCTGTTGTTCTGGGATTGATTAGCACTTTTCGCTCCAAAGTACGTTCGTCTCTCGGAGACAGAATGCGTCTCCTTCCTGAGCGGTATGACGGCTGCGTGGTCCCATGGTGTTTATACTTGGGTACTATTGTTTGTACAGATGAACGTGGTAGGCCTTGAAATAAATCCACAGGTACACCTCCAATTGACCCAAATGGCGTCAATTAGCCTATCAGAAGCTTCTAAAGCTTCTAAAATCATTTTCTGGAATTTTTCAAGCTGGTTAAAGGCATAGTCAACTTAGTATATGTAAACTTCTGACCCACTGGAATTGTGATACAGTGAATTATAAGTGAAATAATCTGTCTGTAAACAATTGTTGGAAAAATGATTTGTGTCATGCACAAAGTTGATGTCCTAACCGACTTGCCAAAACTATAGTTTGTTAACAAGAAATTTGTGGAGTGGTTGAAAAACGTTCTGTTCCCTAGCTCAGACAGGAAAACGGTGAGGAAAGCACATTTTTTACCCTCCTCTTCTCTACCGCCCCACAACTGACCACCCTCCTCTCCTCTCCTCTCCCACCCCACCACTGACCACGCCTCCTGTTCAACACAACACACAGGAGCCGCTGGCGTACCACACATCCCGCAGCCCATGGGCTGTTGGTGTCAGACTTCATGCACCGGTACCTCTTGCCGTGCGGCAGCTGAGAAAATAGTCTATGGCTTGGGTGGTTGGGGTCTTTGACGATTTTCCAGGCCTTCTTTTCACATCACCTGTGATGTACTGGGCTGTCTGCACAAGCCTCTGTAGCGCCATGCGATCGAGGGCGGTGCTATTGCCATACCAAGCAGTGATGGAGCCAGTCAATATGCTCTCAATGGTACAGCTGTAGAACCTTTTGAGGATTTGAGGGCCAAACTTTTTCAACCTCCTGAGGGGGAAGAGGCACTGTCACGCCTTCTTCACAACTGTGCGTTTTAAGACTTTACTGATTTGGACACCGGAAAACTTGAAGCTGCCTACCTGCTCCACTGCCGCCCCGTCAATGTGGATGGGGGCTTGCTCGCCCCCCCCCCCCCGTTTCCTTGGTCTTGCTGATGTTGAGGGAGATGTTGTTGCTCCGGCACACTGACCTCCTCCCTGTAGGTTGACTCATCGTCGCCGGTGATCAGGCCTACCACTGTCGTGTCATCAGCGAACTTAATAATGGTGTTGGAGTTGTGCGTGGCCACGCAGTCGTGGGTGAACAGGGAGTACTGGAGGGGACTAAGGGTCAACGTGGCGGAGGTGATGTTGCCTACCCTCACCACCTGCGGTCGGCCCGTCAGGAAGTGCAGGATCCAGTTGCGGAGGGAGGTGTTCAGACCCAGAGTACTAAGCTTGGTGACGAGCTTGAAGGGGACAATGGTGTTGAACGCTGAGTTGTAGTCAATGAACAGCATTCTCACATACTTAATCCTCTGATCTAGTTGTGTGAGGGCAGTGTGGAGAGCAATTGAGATTGTGTTGTTTATGGATCTGTTGTGGAGGTATGCAAATTGGAGTGGGTCTAGTGTGGCTGGGATGGTGGAGTTAATGTGTGCCATAACCAGCCTCTCAAAGCACTCCATGATTCCAGAAGTATAGTGCTGATTACAGAACTCTGTGGCGTGAAGCCTTAGAGTTCTTAGGAACAGGAATGATTGTGGTCATCTTAAAACATGTGGGGATTACAGACTGGGACAAGTAGAGGTTGAAAATTACTGTGAATATGCCTGCCAGCTGTTCTGCGCATGCTCTGAGAATGCGCCCTGGAATACCGTCGGGGCCCGCGGCATTGTGGGTGTTGACCTGATTAAAGGCCCTTCTCACGTCGGCCTCAGAGAGCAAGATCACCCAATCCTCTGGGTCGGTGACGGCCCTCACACCCGGCTCGATGTTGTTGTTGTCAATATGTTGATTATATGACAATATTTTAGGTTGAGAATAATTGTATCTACTGCCATTCATTCCAATTAGACTGGTTTGGTTCTCAATGATCAAGATGGCTGACATTTTCATCCCATTCTGGAACTTTGAGGGTTTAGCCCCTTTAGTAATTTAATAGGATCTCTATGGTCTTAATATTTGGTACAGAAACCTTTGTTTGCAATTACAGAGATCATACATTTCCTGTAGGTCTTGACCAGAATTGTATGAAGTTATCTCTTTCGGGGGGGGGGGGGGGGGGGGGTTGCTCAGACTTTGCGGGGGCCCTGCAGTATGCCACTGACAGGAGCACATGGTTGGGCTCCTCTCTCTCTGGCTTCGATCCCCTGGTTTATTTTCAGAGCCTGTTGTTATATCTTGAGCTGCACATTTCTGCCCTCTACCCCTTGATCCTCTCCCCACTCTCCCCTCTCCTCTTTCCACTCTACTCTCCCCTCATTGGAGGATGTTGACTGTTGAGGTGGACTTTTAGACTGTTCCTCCACACTGGGGGGGGGGTTGGTGGTATGTGAGGAATCAGAGCGATGTCCAAACACTTACATATCCCTGGGTCACTCTGGTGTCTTAAAGGGGAATGTCAGTTATCAGGGTGTTTATGTTATGTGTCTATGGGAGGTACATCACAGGTCTTTACCTCTCCCTATAGGACATCTCTAAAGGCCCCTGTTTCTATCCTTACTCTGATGCCTGCATGACAATACACAATGCACTGCAGGAGGAGAGCTGGCACCATTCTACCACACCACTTCTCAGCTCTTACTCCGGTAGATTGATTAAATAGGACCCCAACTATTCAAAAATGTCATCAGTGCTTTTAAAGTTGATGACACTGCTCTCAAAATAACATGGCATGTTGTCCCATCGCTTTAAAATAAATGTTAATTAGTGTTATTTGTGGTCCGAAGTTTGGATGGATGCTCGTACACTGAGCATGTCTGACTCTCTGTCTGTATGTTTGTGTGTACAGTATGTAACTCTATACTGTATATTTAATGTCTCACAGAAGCAACAAACAGCCTATTATTTGTGTACTTGATGTGCATGCACCATGTGACTATGTGCTTGGTTCCAGATGTTTGAGCCTATCTGGGATCTAGATCTAGATGTCAGTTCAACGTCTACATTTGGTTGAGTTATCAACTAACGTGAATTCAACGTGAAATCATAAAACATGTCACCATGACATTGGATTAGGTTAAAAGTTGGGTGAAAAAAAGACTAACTTCACTTATGTTGATGACATTTTGCAAATCCAATCAGTTTTCCACGTTGATTCAACGTCATAAAATATAATTTATTTGTTGAAATGACATGGAAACAATGTTGATTCAACAATTTTTGGCCCAGTGGGTATTTTACAGCATCCTGCGTTTCCACATAAATGACTACGTGTCGTGTACACTAGTACTCTTATATAAAGGGAGAGAGATTGATGTTATGTAAGTGAAAAGAGATGTATACAAGCTGAAATGATCAAGAGTGAAGTCATAAGCAGCAATGCAATGTAAAACTGAGCATTTACTGTAGTGATGCTCTGTAAATGTAGCAAATATTAAATATTAGGGTTCCTATATGCTGTGATACACAGCACTTTTCCAGAGATATATGTCCAACAGAGCCCAGGAATGCACAATTTTCCAGTTTGAAACGTCGCTTTACCATTTCCCAGACCTGCGTGTGTGAGTTTTGGGCAATTGTTTGGGAGTGAATATGCCTGTGTTTATTGTTTGGGAGTGTTTATTTTTGCATTTGCAGTAATATTGTGTGTGTGCATACTTGTGCACGCACGTGTGTACAGTGGGGAGAACAAGTATTTGATACACTGCCGATTTTGCAGGTTTTCCTACTTACAAAGCATGTAGAGGTCTATAATTTTTATCATATGTACACTTCAACTGTGAGAGACGGAATCTAAAACAAAAATCCAGAAAATCACATTGTATGATTTTTAAGTAATTAATTTGCATTTTATTGCATGACATAAGTATTTGATCACCTACCAACCAGTAAGAATTCCGGCTCTCACAGACCTGTTAGTTTTTCTTTAAGAAGCCCTCCTGTTCTCCACTCATTACCTGTATTAACTGCACCTGTTTGAACTCGTTACCTGTATAAAAGACACCTGTCTACACACTCAATCAAACAGACTCCAACCTCTCCACAATGGCCAAGACCAGAGAGCTGTGTAAGGACATCAGGGATAAAATTGTAGACCTGCACAAGGCTGGGATGGGCTACAGGACATTAGGCAAGCAGCTTGGTGAGAAGGCAACAACTGTTGGCGCAATTATTAGAAAATGGAAGAAGTTCAAGATGACGGTCAATCATCCTCGGTCTGGGGCTCCAAGCAAGATCTCACCTCGTGGGGCATCAATGATCATGAGGAAGGTGAGGGATCAGCCCAGAACTACATGGCAGGACCTGGTCAATGACCTGAAGAGAGCTGGGACCACAGTCTCAAAGAAAACCATTAGTAACACACTACGCCGTCATGGATTAAAATACTGCAGCGCACGCAAAGTCCCCCTGCTCAAGCCAGCGCATGTCCAGGCCCGTCTGAAGTTTGCCAATGACCATCTGGATGATCCAGAGGAGGAATGGGAGAAGGTCATGTGGTCTGATGAGACAAAAATATAGCTTTTTGGTCTAAACTCCACTCGCCGTGTTTGGAGGAAGAAGAAGGATGAGTACAACCCCAAGAACACCATCCCAACCGTGAAGCATGGAGGTGGAAACATCATTCTTTGGGGATGCTTTTCTGCAAAGGGGACAGGACGACTGCACCGTATTGAGGGGAGGATGGATGGGGCCATGTATCGCGAGATCTTGGCCAACAACCTCCTTCCCTCAGTAAGAGCATTGAAGATGGGTCGTGGCTGGGTCTTCCAGCATGACAACAACCCGAAACACACAGCCAAGGCAACTAAGGAGTGGCTCCGTAAGAAGCATCTCAAGGTCCTGGAGTGGCCTAGCCAGTCTCCAGACCTGAACCCAATAGAAAATCTTTGGAGGGAGCTGAAAGTCTGTATTGCCCAGCGACAGCCCCGAAACCTGAAGGATCTGGAGAAGGTCTGTATGGAGGAGTGGGCCAAAATCCCTGCTGCAGTGTGTGCAAACCTGGTCAAGACCTACAGGAAATGTATGATCTCTGTAATTGCAAACAAAGGTTTCTGTACCAAATATTAAGTTCTGCTTTTCTGATGTATCAAATACTTATGTCATGCAATAAAATACAAATTAATTACTTAAAAATCATACAATGTTGATTTTCTGGATTTTTGTTTTAGATTCCGTCTCTCACAGTTGAAGTGTACCTATGATAAAAATTACAGACCTCTACATGCTTTGTATGTAGGAAAACCTGCAAAATCGGCAGTGTATCAAATACTTCTCCCCACTGTATGTGCGTGCATCTGTATTTGTCAAGTAGATCTCTCTGACATTCCCCTGGTGTAATGTGGTCTCTCTCTCTCTCTCTCTCTCTCTCTCTCTCTCTCTCTCTCCTCACGTGCCTGCCCATGCTCCGTCTCTCTCCTGCTCTCTCTGAAATGTACAGCGGTAAGCACATGTGTCTGTGGCTCCTTTGAAGGAATCCCTGGTCTAGCCAGGCAGGGGGAACAGGGGAGGAAATTCCAAAAGCTCACATTTTCCCTGTGAACCAACCCACCAGTTTGGCTCTGGGAATCCTCTCCTCCAGCTTCCCTGACCTCAGGGGGGCGGGGGGTGTCAGGGCTGGATAGAGGGGGTACTATAGGGGTACATACAGGGGAAGATGGGGTAAGAAGAGGTAGGAGAGAAGTGAAAGATGGAGGAAGTAGAGATGAGAGAGAAGGGGAAGGGGAGGGAAATATGTGGGGAGATGAGGTAAAATGAGGAAGAGGCTAAATATGGGGGCAAGGGAGATGGAAAGAGAGGAAGGGAAGTGTGGAAATAGACAGAGAGGGAGGTCAAAGAGGAGGCCCGAGGCCTCAGGACAGGGCCCCAGGGAGGGCCTATGGTATCTCCACTCTATAGGGCGTTGTTTAATTTACATCAGCAGATTCATTAGCTAGCCTACCTCTGAAGGCTTCTGTCAAACACACTCAGAGAACTGTCTGCATGCCACTGTGTCTGATAGTGTTGACATGGAACTGTTACTTAGGAAGAAGCTCTATTGACATATAGAATCTGCTACATGCTGTTTATGTATGGCCTTTATGGTGTGTGTGTCCCAAATGGCACCCTATTCCCTATATAGTACACCCCAGAGAGCAGTGACTTCTATGGGGCCTACAGTTGATTGGAGTGGGATAAAGTTCCTCTTATAGCCGAAGATCTAAAGTGTTTTTCTTGATTATATTATATTTTCTCAATTCCTGTTATTGATCAGACTAAATGTGAGATGTGTATTATTGAGATCTATGTTTGTGGCACAATGATTATGGTACACGATTTGATTCAGACCTCCACGGGGCAATGCCTCCTGCCTCAGTCCATCAGTTTACGCAATAACATATCCACCAAACACAATGGAACCTCTTGCTTCATTTGTATACAGCCAAATATCAGATGGTGTGAAGTTGGATTACAGGGAAACTGTATAAACACACATTCCAATTTACACATTATGGACACCAATAGTTCAGCCTAGCTGTGCCCAATCATCTGCCATGATGAGACAGTCCCTCCTGGTGTGTTCTTTTTATTTACAGCCTGACGAAGACCTTCAGGTCGAAACCGTTGCACAATAGAACTACGGGAGTAATCACCAGTGTGCAGGTATCTATTTATTCTCATCAGTTTACTTCTTGTACCCTGCACCTGCATGTTACTGGATGTGCGTACGCTACTTAAAAGCTTATTTAGTTAACATATTTACTTAACTTGGGATCACTTATGTAACAGACGTGGCCAGTATTTGGAGGAGCAATAGTAATTCCTGATTGATTTTATGATCAAGTGGACATATGGCTCGCGGTCCCCCAGAGCAGATCCCAGCATCCCGTCTGTTATCCCTCACCATGGGTGATATACCCAAGAGACAGGGGGCCCAAGGAATCATGGGTAAGGCCTTGCTAAGGGGTCAAAGGTCACAGTCAATCACTGTAGGCATCTTTCTCTTTTTGGATTGGGTTGGGAGAGAGGGAGGGAGGGAGGGAGGGAGGGGGTGGAGGGGGGCTCTCATGTGGTCAGGTCAAGGTTGAGAGAATCGCATGTTCCCAATGGAGCAGTCTTCTAGGAGTAACTAGGACTGTTTCTGGTCAAAGACACCTTCAACCGGTTGCACGATAGTGTGTGAAAAAACTTTAAACTCGTTCCAGCCAGGTTCATGCTCTGTTACGTAATGGAATGCTAAGACACAGCACCTTGACTTCAATTTAAATGGTACCTTGATTGTATGTGGTTATCACATTTTTAAATAAACCAAATGGTTTATATCTGTTTTATCGCCTGTTTGGAAAGATAAACTGTCCTTTCTCTCCCAGCCTCTTGCTAATGAAATAAAACATATAGCATTTTTGAAGGGTAAAAAAACAAACAGGCCTTATCACAAAATGGCAGATAAAAATATGAACAGGGTTGAAGCCCTTAAACCTACGTTACGTAAGCTTTCGCCACCTTCAAAGTCTCTCCAGCTTGACACGTTTAGAGTGGATGATTGCTTTAAGTCGTACAGCTTTACAGTCTTACGAAGAGTGAGGAGAAACAGAAGAGTTTACATTTTCCCCCTACTAAAGCCGTCCCTCGCTGAATTAGGGAATAAGGGGAACTCGTGCAGACACACATGCGGCGGTAGGGTGGTGGTGGAGGAGGGAGGGCTGAGGGCAGAACAGTGAGGCTGAGCTCTGGGGGTGGAGGTGGTGAGGAATGGATGTGGTGTCAGTGTCGAGATATTTTCTGTTTATGGCTGCTTTGTCAGGGATGCCAGGGAGGTCTGTGGTTCAGACTGACAGACAGGCCTCCGACAGACTCATGGCTGCCCATGTGGTTGGGGAAACACAGTAGGCCACATAGTAGACCACATACAGTTGAAGTCGGAAGTTTACATACACCTTAGCCAAATACATATAAACTCAGTTTTTCACAATTCCTGACATTTAATACTAGTAAAAATTCCCTGTCTTAGGTCAGTTAGGATCACCACTAAGAATGTGAAATGTCAGAATAATAGTAGAGAGAATTATTTATTTCAGCTTTTATTTCTTTCATCACATTCCCAGTGGGTCAGAAGTTTACATACACTCAATTAGTATTTGGTAGCATTGCCTTTAAATTGTTAAACTTGGGTCAAACGTTTCGGGTAGCCTTCCACAAGCTTCCCACAATAAGTTGGGTGATTTTTGGCCCATTCCTCCTGACAGAGCTGGTGTAACTGAGTCAGGTTTGTAGGCCTCCTTGCTCGCACACGCTTTTTCAGTTCTGCCCACAAATGTTCTATAGGATTGAGGTCAGGGCTTTGTGATGGCCACTCCAACACCTTGACTTTGTTGTCCTTAACCCATTTTGCCACAACTTTGGAAGTATGCATTGTCCATTTGGAAGACCCATTTGCGACCAAGCTTTAACTTCCTGACTGATGTCTTGAGATGTTGCTTCAATATATCCACATAATTTTGCTTCCTCAAGATGCCATCTATTTTGTGAAGTGCACCAGTCCCTCCTGCAGCAAAGCACCCCCACAGCATGATGCTGCCACCCCCGTGCCTCACGGTTGGGATGGTGTTCTTCGGCCAAACATAACGATGGTCATTATGGCCAAACAGTTCTATTTTTGTTTCATCAGACCAGAGGACATTTCTCCAAAAAGTACAATCTTTGTCCCCATGTGCAGTTGCAAACCGTAGTCTGGCTTTTTTATGGCGGTTTTGGAGCAGTGGCTTCTTCCTTGCTGAGCGGCCTTTCAGGTTATGTCGATATAGGACTCGTTTTACTGTGGATATAGATACTTTTGTACCTGTTTCCTCCAGCATCTTCACAAGGTCCTTTGCTGTTGTTCTGGAATTGATTTGCTTCTTTTCACACCAAAGTACATTCATCTCTAGGTGACAGAACGCGTCTCCTTCCTGAGCGGTATGACGGCTGCGTGGTCCCATGGTGTTTATACTTGCGTACTATTGTTTGTACAGATGAACGTGGTACCTTCAGGCGTTTGGAAATTGCTCCCAAGGATGAACCAGACTAGTGTAGGTCTACAACTTTTTTTCTGAGGTCTTGGCTGATTTCTTTTGATTTTCCCATGATGTCAAGCAAAGAGGCACTGAGTTTGAAGGTAGGCCTTGAAATATATCCACAGGTACACCTCCAATTGACTCAAATGATGTCAATTAGCCTATCAGAAGCTTTTAAAGCCATGACATGATTTTCTGGAATTTTCCAAGCTGTTTAAAGGCACAGTCAACTTAGTATATGTAAACTTCTGACCCACTGGAATTGTGATACAGTGAAATAATCTGTCTGTAAACAATTGTTTGAAAAATGACTTGTGTCATGCACAAAGTAGATGTCCTAACCGACTTGCCAAAGCTATAGTTTGTTAACAAGAGATTTGTGGAGTGGTTGAAAAACGAGTTTTAATGACTCCAACCTAAGTGTATGTAAACTTACGACTTCAACTGTACATCCAAATATGTATTGATTTTTATGTACAGTAGTAGTAGTGACAAATTGTATGTTAGATCAGATTCCTTTTCCACAAAACAACAACCGGTCAAATTCATTATCATGCAATTATAATGCGATTCGATTCACATGCAATAATTACTATATCGGTACATGACTTTAGCGCATCATAAAGAGTAACATTTTAGGATCCTGCTGAGATTTACCTTACACTTTAACAGGAAGCTCTGTGCCAATAGGGAATTTGGTTTATCAGTTTCAACCAATAAGGGTACTTATTGAATTTATAGTGCCATGTCACTTCTGATCCTGAAATATGATTTACTTTAGTTCAAAGTTGTTAATCTCACTCTTTGGAAACCTCTTCCTCTAATGTGTACTTTTCAGCAGAATGCAGGTTGTCATGAAATGTTATTTTCAAGATAGACTGAACTGAAGGGAGGTGATGTGAGGTCCTTCTGTGGGTTGGAAGAGGCAAGGAAGGTGTGTGTGTGTGTTGCTGGCAGATGTGTAGGGTTATAAATTCACAGGATGTTTTTGGGGAATGCTGTGGGGGCGACCCCGGTCCCCTGTACCCACTCAATTACTCGCCATGATGATGTGGTTAAATCTACAGGATGCTCTGGTGGCCTCTTGGTGATGTGGAGCATAATAATATATGCTCTGTGAGGGATACAGGGTGCATACATAGGCATATTATTCATTCAGTCGATGATATACCGTAGTGAAATATAAAGTTGTTGCACTGTCCTTGAGGGAGAAGAAACAGTGAAAAATGATTTAACCTGTTTGTCTTTTTTTGCTGCAAAGTTCTAATTATTTTTTTGCTTAAACTATGTTCAATTTAAGAGCATCTTTCAGTTTTTTTGTTTTTCCCCCCAGTAAAATTGGCATATTTAAGAGTCAAAAGGCCAACAAAAATGATTTCTTTTTACCCTAAAGAGGTTGAGGTTCCTTTAACTTGAAATAACATATTTTCTTGAAATAACACACTCAGCATATGTGCATGCATGGTGTGGTCTGTGTTGATTCATTATTACTATGTATTCTAGGCTACATTGTATTGCTTGTAACAATAACTCAAGACTGATACAGTCAATGATGAACAGGCCCGTGCATGCTGAAAGCACATTTGAAGCTG